TTATTAGCATCGTAGATTTCTTACGGACCTCAAGCAGGTTGTTGCTTTGTTCTAATAGATCTTTGTTCAAGATCCATGTTGTTAAAGGTGTCGTTGTCGTTCTTACAATTGATTTCATACGTTCTTGATCTTCCTGTACTCGTTCAAAATGTTCGCGGCCTTGATTATCGTAAATGGTTATGATTACTTGTTGACGCTCATAGTATTGAGCTTCAAACGAGTATATAGATAAATAGGTATAAATTGTAGGTTGTATATAACTGTTTATGTCTTCTGTCGTTCACTACTAAATAGTACCTGTGTCGTATTTACAGATTTTTCTAGCCTTTTTTTCAAGTAACCAATTGCACGGATGACCTTATGCAGATGGCCATTCTTTTCATAGCAATGAGAATCGGGCAAGGAGTTGAGGGCACGTTTGGCGTTGAGTGATAATGGAACGTAGATCAGGTAGGGGTCGATGTGCCCATCGAGTTCGGGAAGTTAGATACTGAGATGGCCAGACGGATGCATTGCCAGGGACGGTTTTGGGGCGTTCACCGTTCCCTTTAGCGCAAGCCGAACCCCACTGCCTTAGGAGGCTGCTACAGTAAGAGCATGTGACAGAATAGTGCCGTCGGGTCGTTCATCTGATTGAGTCACGCTGCTAATAACGGTATACACGGCCCAACAGCATATAATGTATGTATCCAGCTTGATAATTACGGCCACCTTGGCGCCAACGACCCCCCGAACGAAATTGGGCTCACAAATATTGAAAATTTCGACGTTTCACGGCGTTTCGTTATAATACAGTTATCTAGGGTATCGCCGACTGCTTGCCAGTTCCTTGGTGTGAATTGATCACGACGAAAGGCTCGCTCTGCGTCGGTTTTTTTGGTGGACATACGACCACATCCGGACCATGTTCAAGCTTGAAGCCCAGGACAATCTCAACGAAGATCATGGGGCAGGCCCGGAAAATGGTAGATTGCCCTTTTAGGAATGCATCTGTTTCCACTACATCGTTCGACTATTTCCTCTACATCTAATTCTACGGCTAACAGGTGTGTCGATTACGGGACACCACCGAGAGCTGATTCATTACTCGACATCTCGACTGAGATCAAATCGAAAAAGAGATATTCTTCACATAGGCTCGATATTTCATGATTGATTTCTGGGGCAACCATTCTGCCCTTTTCGTGTACGCACATTTCATACAATGCGCGTATTCAAATAGGAGAACACCTGTTAAGTAGGTATTCAGCAAATAGAGTGGGTCTAAGATTTGATGTGTTCCCTATGTGCAATAGTAAATGAAGAAAGACAAAAGCAATTGACATAATTTCTTCTCGTCTTGACGCTTGTCTTTTGTAAATGAGGCATGCAAAAATACAGTACGGTACTTCTTAAATAAATCATAGGATAGTATTCTTCGAATTTTCCATAAGAACTGTTGGTAGGAGTTCTTTTTGCCACCTTTTTCGTTTGTCTTTGTTTCGAGTATTGCAGTTGAATAGGGATTGGATTTTTGGAAAGATTCTAGAAACAAGGATCACGGGGTGCACGTAATCTCAGCGTCAGCAATATTGTAACGTGCTTGCAGAAGCAACCAGTGCTATATTTGAAATGAAACTTTTATCGTGGAATTACATAGTGATCGGTGACGCCAACGTGATAACTATCTTTTCCATACGATCAATATCGACTATATATAGAGACAGAGATAGAGGGAGAGCTTCCTTAACATGAATGATGCGCTAGCTTAACGGCAGTTTCTACTGACTATCCCATGGTAACTAGATTTTACTTATATTATTGCTATTACCAATAGTATGGAAATAATTTTAACGCACTCATACAGCTATCGCTTGCGCAGGCATACATTTTTACGGAAAATGACGGGCGGTGTACAAAAATGAAGCGTTTAAATTTCCAAATTTCGCCATATTGCCATCATAGTCTTATTAGGCCTTTTCGTATTGCTGAATTTTAGTTCGTATTATAACTATCCTGCTTTTTCATCCATTGTTTCCTTACACACGGATACTAATCAAGCACGTACGTGTGTAATGTATATTGTAGATGGTAATAATATTGATAAATGATTATCGGTAAATAATGATAACGAGATAGCAATATCATAATAAGAAAGATAAAGAAAGAGGATCAATTGATTGAAACATCTGTTCGTTCGTCTACTTCGAACAGGGTGAATAGGTAACTGTGTATAGGATCAGTGCTAGGACCGTGCTACGGTCTCACTGTTCCCGCATGCTGTTAATGAGTATGTAATAAATATTGGTAAGAAGGCCTTTTGTTACGAACGTTTACGATCATTTGTAGATAGCCAGTGTTACCAAGTCTGATCCTTTTACGTTTCATTATCATCGCTATGTCGTTGTACTTCGAAGTGATATTTTTGCTTTTATTCAATGCAGGATGCTTTTATACTGTTTTCTATTTTTTTTCCCTTTTTTTTTTTTATCATTATACTGTGTACTATTCAACATGTCCCAACTACAAGTTGTAAATCGTGTAGAGGCTAACAGACTTTGTTCAGCTGGGCTGAACTTACTTGTTTTTCTTTTAATTTCACATTTGATCGAGCTCCTTCTATTGGCGAACGAGGCGTTGCTCACTTAACGAGATTGGGGGGCTTCCTTCTTGTTTACTTTTACGCATAGGCTAACATTCGCTCAGCCACGTTATGCCTATGGGTTACACATTGTTCGCTGAATTCAGTTATACGTTACGTACACAATATGGAACAGGCACAATCTGTTTGATCGAACTTGATAGCATGGATTCTCTAGCGCTGAACGGGGCCCAATCGTTGCTGCTAATTGTTCACGACTTTTCGCTATAAATCATCCGGGATCCTGCATAAATACCGTCAATGTATTGGGCTAGATGGGATTTTGTATTCGTGCTAAATAGTAATGGAAGATATTGTTGTTGGCAACTTGGTCACTCAGCCATTTTTGACCAGTTCAATAAACGCAGCGAGTATATATATA